AAGAAGGCTTCAGTCCATCAAACTTCTCAGAGCTAAAGGAGGAATTACGTACCCAGCGCAAAGAAACTAAAAATCTTGAAAAAAAAGTGGAAGAATTGATGGCTAGAGTAATTAATGCAGAGAAGGTCATAAACGAAATGAAAGAGATGAAAACCATGACACGAGAAATACGTGACAAATGCACAAGCTTCAGTAACCGACTCGATCAACTGGAAGAAAGAGTATCTGCAATTGAGGATCAAATGAATGAAATGAAGCGAGAAGAGAAACCAAAAGAAAAAAGAAGAAAAAGAAATGAACAAAGCCTGCAAGAAGTATGGGATTATGTAAAAAGACCAAATCTACGTCTGATTGGGGTGCCTGAAAGTGAGGGGGAAAATGGAACCAAGTTGGAAAACACTCTTCAGGATATCATCCAGGAGAACTTCCCCAACCTAGTAGGGCAGGCCAACATTCAAATCCAGGAAATACAGAGAACGCCACAAAGATACTCCTCGAGAAGAGCAACTCCAAGACACATAATTGCCAGATTCACCAAAGTTGAAATGAAGGAAAAAATCTTAAGGGCAGCCAGAGAGAAAGGTCGGGTTACCCACAAAGGGAAGCCCATCAGACTAACAGCAGATCTCTCGGCAGAAACTCTCCAAGCCAGAAGAGAGTGGGGGCCAATATTCAACATTCTTAAAGAAAAGAATTTTAAACCCAGAATTTCATATCCAGCCAAACTAAGTTTCATAAGTGAAGGAGAAATAAAATCCTTTACAGATAAGCAAATACTTAGAGATTTTGTCACCACTAGGCCTGCCTTACAAGAGACCCTGAAGGAAGCACTAAACATGGAAAGGAACAACCGGTACCAGCCATTGCAAAAACATGCCAAAATGTAAAGACCATCGAGGCTAGGAAGAAACTGCATCAACTAATGAGCAAAATAACCAGTTAATATCATAATGGCAGGCTCAAGTTCACACATAACAATCTTAATCTTAAATGTAAATGGACTAAATGCTCCAATTAAAAGACACAGACTGGCAAACTGGATAAAGAGTCAAGACCCATCAGTCTGCTGTATTCAGGAGACCCATCTCACACGCAGAGACATACATAGGCTCAAAATAAAGGGATGGAGGAAGATTTACCAAGCAAATGGAGAACAAAAAAAAGCGGGGGTTGCAATACTAGTCTCTGATAAAACAGACTTTAAACCATCAAAGATCAAAAGAGACAAAGAAGGCCATTACATAATGGTAAAGGGATCAATTCAACAGGAAGAGCTAACTATCCTAAATATATATGCACCCAATACAGGAGCACCCAGATTCATAAAGCAAGTCCTTAGAGACTTACAAAGAGACTTAGACTCCCATACAATAATAATGGGAGACTTCAACACTCCACTGTCAACATTAGACAGATCAACGAGACAGAAAGTTAACAAGGATATCCAGGAATTGAACTCATCTCTGCAGCAAGCAGACCTAATAGACATCTATAGAACTCTCCACCCCAAATCAACAGAATATACATTCTTCTCAGCACCACATCGTACTTACTCCAAAATCGACCACGTAATTGGAAGTAAAGCACTCCTCAGCAAATGTACAAGAACAGAAATTATAACAAACTGTCTCTCAGACCACAGTGCAATCAAACTAGAACTCAGGACTAAGAAACTCAATCAAAACCGCTCAACTACATGGAAACTGAACAACCTGCTCCTGAATGACTACTGGGTACATAATGAAATGAAGGCAGAAATAAAGATGTTCTTTGAAACCAATGAGAACAAAGATACAACATACCAGAATCTCTGGGACACATTTAAAGCAGTGTGTAGAGGGAAATTTATAGCACTAAATGCCCACAAGAGAAAGCAGGAAAGATCTAAAATTGACACTCTAACATCGCAATTAAAAGAACTAGAGAAGCAAGAGCAAACACATTCGAAAGCTAGCAGAAGGCAAGAAATAACTAAGATCAGAGCAGAACTGAAGGAGATAGAGACACAAAAAACTCTCCAAAAAATCAATGAATCCAGGAGTTGGTTTTTTGAAAAGATCAACAAAATTGACAGACCGCTAGCAAGACTAATAAAGAAGAAAAGAGAGAGGAATCAAATCGACGCAATTAAAAATGATAAAGGGGATATCACCACCAACCCCACAAAAATACAAACTACCATCAGAGAATACTATAAACACCTCTACGCAAATAAACTGGAAAATCTAGAAGAAATGGATAATTTCCTGGACACTTACACTCTTCCAAGACTAAACCAGGAAGAAGTTGAATCCCTGAATAGACCAATAGTAGGCTCTGAAATTGAGGCAATAATTAATAGCCTACCAACCAAAAAAAGTCCAGGACCAGATGGATTCACAGCTGAATTCTACCAGAGGTACAAGGAGGAGTTGGTACCATTCCTTCTGAAACTATTCCAATCAATAGAAAAAGAGGGAATCCTCCCTAACTCATTTTATGAGGCCAACATCATCCTGATACCAAAGCCTGGCAGAGACACAACAAAAAAAGAGAATTTTAGACCAATATCCCTGATGAACATCGATGCAAAAATCCTCAATAAAATACTGGCAAACCGGATTCAGCAACACATCAAAAAGCTTATCCACCATGATCAAGTGGGCTTCATCCCTGGGATGCAAGGCTGGTTCAACATTCGCAAATCAATAAACATAATCCAGCATATAAACAGAACCAAAGACAAGAACCACATGATTATCTCAATAGATGCAGAAAAGGCTTTTGACAAAATTCAACAGCCCTTCATGCTAAAAACGCTCAATAAATTCGGTATTGATGGAACGTACCTCAAAATAATAAGAGCTATTTATGACAAACCCACAGCCAATATCATACTGAATGGGCAAAAACTGGAAAAATTCCCTTTGAAAACTGGCACAAGACAGGGATGCCCTCTCTCACCACTCCTATTCAACATAGTGCTGGAAGTTCTGGCTAGGGCAATTAGGCAAGAGAAAGAAATCAAGGGTATTCAGTTAGGAAAAGAAGAAGTCAAACTCTCCCTGTTTGCAGATGACATGATTGTATATTTAGAAAACCCCATTGTCTCAGCCCAAAATCTCCTTAAGCTGATAAGCAACTTCAGCAAAGTCTCAGGATACAAAATTAATGTGCAAAAATCACAAGCATTCTTATACATCAGTAACAGACAAACAGAGAGCCAAATCAGGAATGAACTTCCATTCACAATTGCTTCAAAGAGAATAAAATACCTAGGAATCCAACTTACAAGGGATGTAAAGGACCTCTTCAAGGAGAACTACAAACCACTGCTCAGTGAAATAAAAGAGGACACAAACAAATGGAAGAACATACCATGCTCATGGATAGGAAGAATCAATATCGTGAAAATGGCCATACTGCCCAAGGTAATTTATAGATTCAATGCCATCCCCATCAAGCTACCAATGAGTTTCTTCACAGAATTGGAAAAAACTGCTTTAAAGTTCATATGGAACCAAAAAAGAGCCCGCATCTCCAAGACAATCCTAAGTCAAAAGAACAAAGCTGGAGGCATCACGCTACCTGACTTCAAACTATACTACAAGGCTACAGTAACCAAAACAGCATGGTACTGGTACCAAAACAGAGATATAGACCAATGGAACAGAACAGAGCCTCAGAAATAATACCACACATCTACAGCCATCTGATCTTTGACAAACCTGAGAAAAACAAGAAATGGGGAAAGGATTCCCTATTTAATAAATGGTGCTGGGAAAATTGGCTAGCCATAAGTAGAAAGCTGAAACTGGATCCTTTCCTTACTCCTTATACGAAAATTAATTCAAGATGGATTAGAGACTTAAATGTTAGACCTAATACCATAAAAATCCTAGAGGAAAACCTAGGTAGTACCATTCAGGACATAGGCATGGGCAAAGACTTCATGTCTAAAACACCAAAAGCAACGGCAGCAAAAGCCAAAATTGACAAATGGGATCTCATTAAACTAAAGAGCTTCTGCACAGCAAAAGAAACTACCATCAGAGTGAACAGGCAACCTACAGAATGGGAGAAAATTTTTGCAATCTACTCATCTGACAAAGGGCTAATATCCAGAACCTACAAAGAACTCAAACAAATTTACAAGAAAAAAACAAACAACCCCATCAAAAAGTGGGCAAAGGATATGAACAGACATTTCTCAAAAGAAGACATTCATACAGCCAACAGACACATGAAAAAATGCTCATCATCACTGGCCATCAGAGAAATGCAAATCAAAACCACAATGAGATACCATCTCACACCAGTTAGAATGGCGATCATTAAAAAGTCAGGAAACAACAGGTGCTGGAGAGGATGTGGAGAAATAGGAACACTTTTACACTGTTGGTGGGATTGTAAACTAGTTCAACCATTATGGAAAACAGTATGGCGATTCCTCAAGGATCTAGAACTAGATGTACCATATGACCCAGCCATCCCATTACTGGGTATATACCCAAAGGGTTATAAATTATGCTGCTATAAAGACACATGCACATGTATGTTTATTGCAGCACTATTCACAATAGCAAAGCCTTGGAATCAACCCAAATGTCCATCAGTGACAGATTGGATTAAGAAAATGTGGCACATATACACCATGGAATACTATGCAGCCATCAAAAAGGATGAGTTTGTGTCCTTTGTAGGGACATGGATGCAGCTGGAAACCATCATTCTTAGCAAACTATCACAAGAACAGAAAACCAAATACCGCATGTTCTCACTCATAGGTGGGAACTGAACAATGAGATCACTTGGACTCAGGAAGGGGAACATCACACACAGGGGCCTATCATGGGGAGGGGGGAGGGGGGAGGGATTGCATTGGGAGTTATACCTGATGTAAATGACGAGTTGATGGGTGCAGCACACCAACATGGCACAAGTATACATATGTAACAAACCTGCACGTTATGCACATGTACCCTACAACTTAAAGTATAATAATAATAAATTAATTTAAAAAAAAAATGAAAACAAAAGTTTCCCTGAAATTGTCATCCACATGGAAGTCCTTTTTACAATTATATATATTTAGGATTTTATATTTTGTTCTTAGTTCTCTGGAGAAGATGAACATTTTCTGACCATAATGACCGTTTTTATAAAATTGTATTTAATTATTTAGAGTACTGTATCCTTCCAATAGCCTTACCTATGTAATCCATACTGAGTGGTTGAATATGAAATTCCTTCCTGCTTTTCATCATCATAAATGTCATCTTGGTGGACTTTTATTGGCCAGCATCTCTGTAAGTGTGAGTATTGATTGGATTCTTAAAACTGAGATGTCTGGGTGGAGGAATCTGCATTTGCATCAGGGCAGGGCCTGTTATTGACCAGGGGATGGATTCTTATGCCTAGGCCAACCCTTCCAGATCAACAACTGCCACTCCTGCCCGGACTCAAGGGACCCTGTGCTCCTGCCCCCTGGTTCTGTGGGTTGAAAACTCTATTGACTTGAAGTCTTGGGGATTGTGTATTGGCATCTTCCAGAGAGATTTTCCCAGAGCTGAGTGAACTTGGGACTGATGGAAGGATGAAGAGTGGGCTTCTGATGCAGTAGGAGGAGAGGGTGACATTTTCTGGGGCAGAGGGTGGAGTCTGTGTACTGAGTGGGGTGATGCAACCTCGCCTTCTTCCCAAAGCCTGTGCATTGGAATTCCCCAGTGCTTTCTATAAAAATGTTACTGGATATTGATGCAGGATGTTTCAAGACCAGTGCCCTGAGATCAAACACAGGATGTTCTCCAAGTTCCCCCAAGCCTAGGATTTCAGGTCTGTCTTTTTCTGTCTTTCCTCTCTCCCTCACTCTCCCCCTCTCATGTCTCTTATTCCATGAACAGATGGTTGCGGAACACTCACTATATAAGCTGTTAGCATACCTGAAAATGCAGGTGAATGTCTGTAACATCGACAGCATTCATGTTTAACTAACCAAACATTGGTCTTCATGTTTCCAGACATGGACAATAGTTCTTTAACATGATTTCATGCAATCCTTACATAGGGATAATAGCTTATTGTCTTTCAGGCAGTGGACTGGGCCCTGAAGAGTAAATGAAGAAAGAACTGGGTTCTGTGGCCCACCAGCTGCTGAATGTCCAGCCCCCACCCCTGCAGATACTGTGGTGCTTGTTTTACCCTCCTTCCCATCCCACACCTGTCATTCTGCCTTCACTTTATTGGGATGTGAGTTGCATCCTAACTGTCCACCTGCACAGGCACAACACAGTGATGCTCTCTCATCTTCCCACTGTCCCAGGACTCTGGGGCCTGGTGAATAATGCTGGCATCTCCTTGCCTGTGGCCCCCAATGAGTTGCTGACCAAGCAGGACTTTGTGACGGTACTGGACGTGAACTTGTTGGGGGTGATCGACGTGACTCTGAGCCTGCTGCCCTTAGTGAGGAAGGCCAGGGGCCGTGTGGTCAATGTCTCCAGTATCTGTGGCCAGGTGTCACTTTTTGGTGGAGGCTATTGCATCTCCAAGTACGGCGTGGAAGCCTTCTCTGACTCCCTCAGGTATGGGTCTGGGACGGGGCCCGCCCTAGTCTTCCTGCTCCTGTGTTTGTGGGGAAGTCTTTTCCAGGGAGTTCCTTGAATCCCAGCCTGTAAGGCCCTTTCATGAGATCCCTCTCTGTCTTCATGTGGGGCACCCTCATCTTCCGCTTTCTGGATTGGGCTGGCCATTCACTGGGAAGCACCTTCCTGAGTGCTGGGTGGCAGGAGGGGCCTCAGGTCAGAGAGTTTCTTGAATGATACCTCTTCCCTAGATGGATCTCCTGGTCAGAAACTGCCAGAGGCAGAATTGGACCTGGACCTTTGGCTTCTGATCCTGCCAAGAGGAACACAGTACTGAGGTACCCAAGCCCAGGATGGGGAATACTGTGTATCAATGACTAATCCCAGGGAAGGACCCTAAACACTTCTTCCCATTGCACCTTGGTATTGGAGCCACAAAGGTAGGCCAGGCAGTCAGCACTGGATGGAAGAATGCTTTGCACCCTAGAGAAGGAGCAGAGAAAGATCAGTACAACAGTGTGTGTTGGTCCCCTGGCCAGGGAGGATTTCCCGGCAGCGACAATGGGCATGTGGCTTGCTCACACCCCTCTCTTGCTGTAGTAGATGGACCCCGACCCCTCCTACCTGGAATCTGAAATACTTGTAAAGCTGGGGCATGCCTTAGTGCCACAGAGACACACATGCTCATGCAGATGCAGGAGCACTCACTGAGTCAGAAACAGGGAAAGATATTTCCACACCAGGAGATGGGTGCCTGGCTTTGGGGCTCTTCCTCTCTAGGGAGAGAAATGCTTCAAGCGCTGAGGCCATTCCTTCGTGGCTCTCTGGAACCCAAAGACAGCATGCAGAAGATGGCCTTTCTTAGCAGAATTCATGTCCAGAGCCCCTTTGACAATGGGTAGAGCATCTGAGTCCACTCAACAGACGCTTTAGGCCCTCGTCTAAGTGGACAAAAATTCGTCCTTAATCAACAACAAGGTTTTGTCTGTGACCTGAAACTTGATACCTGAGAGAGGGACAAGAGATCTAGAATCAACTGCCAACGCTTATAAGGTTGGTTACCAAGTCAACCTTGCTGGCCATGGTACCCACCTGAGTTGGGGAGAGTCGTGGAGATTCTGTCTGAGCTGGGGATTGAGAACTCCACCTGGCAGCCTGGTAAGGAAGGCTGCGAAGGGTTCCTGGATGAAGGAATGCCATCAGCCCAGGCCCAGGGTGAGCATTAGTGACCTGCATGTACTGCAGAGTCCTCTTGTGGTGAAGGTCAAGGCCAGGCCTGGTGGGGGATGCTGGGCAGGTGGGCATAGGTGGGCTCCTTGATGGCCTGTGGGTCCTGAACAGGAGCTGTGCTTTATGCTGTTGGGAGTGGAACCCCCCAAAAAAGGGATTTGCTCCTTGGTCTAATCAGCTTCTAGACACCCACTGACTGCAGGAAGCCCAGTGGCTGAAAGTGGGGAGCCAGACTGAAGACAGATGCTTCTTAGAGGACAGCTGCCATCACCCAGCTCAGAGGCCAGGGAGATTCCTGGGGCAGGAAGAGGAGGGAGGGGACTGAGGACTGGAGAGGAGGCAAAATGTGGGAATTCTGGTGATCCATTGTATGTGAAGGACATAGGAGGAGACAGCACTAAGGTGCTGCCTTGCTTTGGAATTGGTAGGATTTAGAGCTAGTAAGCTCAGGTATGTGAAATATCGAACCCCGATACAAAGGCAGCACCACCATCATCATTATGACCCCTTGATTGCTGGAAATTAAATATTCCAAGCTTTCTATCTCACCCGTTGTCCTCATATGTTGTGCTGTCATAGTTTTACTTTTATTGTTTGTGTTTTACCTTCCATAAACCCTGAAGTCTTTCCCCTCTGCTTCTCTTTCTTGCAGGAGGGAACTCTCCTACTTTGGGTTGAAGGTGGCTATGATTGAGCCTGGCTATTTCAAGACTGCTTTGACCAGTAAGGAGAGATTCTTAAAGAGCTTCCTGGAGATTTGGGACCGGTCCAGTCCAGAAGTCAAGGAGGTCTGCAGCGAGAAGATTCTTACAGTCTGTGAGTAAACTGTGGACAGTAGGGAGAGAAGCAAACCCTCGTGTGGAATCCCTGGTCTACCGTTGGTGTCTGAAGGTCATTAGAGTTTGATCTCCAGGCTCTCCCTTCCCCACAAAGTGGAGACCTTTAGCCCCATTTCCATGATGGGTGCTGTGTGGTCAACTGGTCATAAAAGCAAGTGTCCAGGCTTCTCAGAACTTGGGACCAGTGTCTATCTGAACCCATCATTATTGAGGAGCAAAGTGAAGCCAGAAAGGGAAGACATTGGTGACTGATAACAAGCTGGCATGAGAGACAGCTCGTTTTTATGTGTTGAGACTTCTACTGTGGGTGGAGACCATCATTTATGCAGTCCAGATATTCCCGAAGAGAGAAACATGACTTAGTGTGGAACACTTGTTACTTTCCCATGGATGGGCTCCAACTCAGGGAATTTGGATAAAAGAGACTTGGGGCATTGCTTGACTGGGGGTTGTGGGGTGGCATGAGTTTTTAGACCCTTTCCACTCTAAGTTGAATCCAAAGCAGGAGCGGTTACAGGTGGAAATATAAATGGATCATTTCTCATGTTTAACAGATAAGAAATTTGCTGAACAATTGGAACAGAAGTACACACAGGATTTGTCCTTGGTGACCAACTGCATGGAGCATACGCTGATTGCCTGCCACCCCCGCACTCACTACTCAGCCGGCTGGGATGCTAAGCTTCTCTACCTCCCCATGAGCTACATGCCCACCTTCCTGGTGGATGCCATTATCTACTGGGATTCTGCAAACCCGGCCAAGGCTCTATGAAGCCAAGGATCAGGTGCATGGTTGCATGGATTTGGGGTGTGCTATGAGGGGTGGTGTATCCTTGGGAGAGAAATAAAGTGGAGGGAGGGAGATGTCAGGTCAGTAGGGCACCGATCTCACCTCCTTCATTACCTCCTGGCCATGATTCTTCTAGGAGATAATTCTGCTCTCTGGAGATGTTGGTAGGAAAGTTCAAGTTATGCAGCTGAGAAGCAGGGACCAAGTAGGGCTCCTGGGTGCATTGTCACCTTGGGTGTCCACTTCAATGTACAAGTCTCTTGTGCCATCCTTAGGCAACAACTGGGGTGGGTGTGAGCAGGTGGAAGGAGCCTCAGCCTATGCCATTACCTCCTGCTTCCTTATCAGGCTGTGTGTTAATTCTGGGCCAGTCTGGGCCATGGGGTGGAAATGGCCTGGGGGACATGAGAGCACCCCTTCGTTGAAGATCCCTGTACATGGGGTGTTGGAACCTGGAGCGCAACCATTATGCAGCCCTGTAGGCCTCAGTAGTCATCCCAGCAGCAGTGGCTGAGAGGTGGTGGTCTCAGTAGGGATCTGTACAGAGGGCAAATAAACAAGTTTTCTATTTATCTGGAAAGCATGGACTTCCTTTGACTCTTTTGATGTTGAAAAGTTGATAGTTTCACCCATGTGCAGTGATTTGAATGTTCTTATGAAGCTCCTCTTGGATACCAGACACATGAGATTGCAATCCCTCTCTGAGCCTGCTTTCCCTCCTTTGCTCAGTACCTAGAATCACTCCATCCAGAAAACCAGGTCACTGTCAGCATCTCTAGGACTATAAGTCAAAGGCAGAAAAGAGTGAGCAGGATTAGATCTCCTCCTAATATTGGAATTCTCTGCTAGAAGGAGAACAAGATCCCAACGGGGAAGTCTGATCTTAGAGGCAAAGAAAGGGGACAGAGGGAAATGGGGATGGGAACCCCCAAGCTGCTGGGAGGGAGGAATGGAGTGACTTACACAAGCGGATATCAGAGTTTTTACACTTTCAGTCCTGAAGATGCCCGTTCCCTGGATTTGTATGACCTTGGGGAGCAGTGGCAGGAAGAGGCAGGTGCCTTCCTGAACATCAGGGGATGAGAGGCTGACCTGAGAATGAATTTGAAGAGAGAAGTTGGACTATCCCTGCCCTCTCCCATCCCTTCTTGCCACCAAGGTGAGGGGCAATTGTTTTCTTTCCAGGAGTTCTGTAGTAGCCTGGGGTCACAGAAACAGACCCAAGGACAAGCCAGCAAGGTGACCTCAACAGCTGTATTGACAGGCAGGCCCCAGATCCCCTCCCTGGGGCAACTGAAGCTTCCTCCCCTCACTTGTGCGCTCTCTGTGGCCCTTGGTGCCCGACCCTCACTTTAAAGTCATTGCATTTTCCCTGTGCCATCCCTCAGGTCCCCCACCATATCCCAACGCACATACTCCTCCAGTGACAGGGAGTGAGAGTTACTGCTGGACTCATCTTTCATATTTTCACTACCTTTTTTGAGCCCCTGCTGTGTGCCGGACAGAAATTCCCTTGAATGACCTGGTCCTCATCCTCAGTGTCTTCAGTTTTCTGATGATGTCACAAGTGTGGACTCAACACAGAAAGCATTAGGGGAAAGGGGAACAGATTTTTGAACTCAGCACAAATTGTAGTTGGGAGGTAACTCCCCAGGTTTCTCGTTTTTCTTTCCTCAGGATAAAAATCTAGGATATGGAGCCTTTAAGAAGCCCTATGTTGTTTAACAAACCAGTGTTTATTGTAGAAGCAGAGACTGAGGTCAGATGTTGCTGGGCCACTGAATTCAAAACACGCAATGAGGCCTGGCATGTTGGCTGATGCCTGTAATCCTAGCACTTTTGCAGGCTGAGGTGGATGGATCACCTGAGCTCAGGAGTTAGGGACCAGCCTGGGCAACATGGTGAAACCTGGTCTCTATTAAAAATACAAAAAAAATTAGCTGAGTGTGTTGGTGTATGCCTGTGGTACAGATACCTGAGAGGCTGAGGTAGGTGGATGGCTTGAGCCTGGGAGATGAAGGTTGCAGTGAGCTGAGATGTGCCACTGCACTCCAACCTGGGTGATAGAGTGAGACCCCATCTCAAAAAAACAAAACAAAGCAAAATGAACAAACAAATGAAACACACACAGTGAGAAGTGTGTGGAGATAAATGTTGGAATAGAAGGTTTCACGGATCATTCTCTCTTCCCCATCTCACACCAGGACACCAAGTTAACAACTATCTCCACATCAAAAAACACCTTCAGAAGAACCAACAGTCAGGTGATAACTCTTTAACCTGGTTTCAACCTCATTGCTGAAAGAGGTACTGTAAAGGTAGAAAAAAGAGTCGTGAATCAGACACTACTGCTCCCCAAACCCTGGCAGTGGAGGCATGGTGCTGAAAGCCTCTCTGGGTGCTGCGGGAGGGAGAACACAGCAATTGTGAGGCACTGAACTCAGTGCTATCCTGTTAGAGCAGAAAGAAAAAACAGACCAAACTCAGCTGATGCCCGTCCATAGAGGGAGCATTTAAACCAGCCCTAGCCACAGGGGAATCACCGATCCTAGCAGTCATGATTTGAGTGCCTACAAACCTCGATACCAAGGGCTGCAATGCTCCATATCCCCCAAGTAAACTTAAATGGCAGTCTAGGCCATAAGAACTGCAACTCATAGGCGAGGCCTAGTGCCACAGGGGAATCTCTGATCACAGCAGACCTGACTTGAGTGCCCGCAAATCTTGCCACCAAGGACTACAATGCTCTGTGTCTCCAAGTAAACTTGAAAGGCAGTCTAAGCCACAAGGACTGCCCCTCATAGTCTAGGGGTAGTGCAGAACTAGGCCCAGAGGCACTGGATTACAGGGTCAGGTGACCTACTGAGACACAAGCTGGGGCGGCCAAGGGGAATGTTGGCATTACCCCTCCCCTAATCCCAGGCTGTACAGCTTGAGATTCCCAAGGAGACCCCATTCTTCCACTTGAGGAGAGGAGAGGGAAGAAGAGTGGGGAGGATTTCATCATGCATCTTGAATACCAGCTCAGCCACAGCAAGATAGGGCAATGATCAGAGTCAGGAGGCCTCCATTTCAATCCCTAGCTCCCATACGGCATTTCTGGATGGACCCTGGGCCAGAAGGCAACCCAGTGCTTTCAAAGGAAGGACCAAGTGCTGGCAGCATTCAACCCCTGCCATCTGAAGAGACCTTGGGCCCCAAATAACCAGCATTGATAGCCAGGTACTACATCAAGAGCCTTGGGTGAGCCTCTGAGACTTGCTGGCTTCAGATGAGACTTGGGACATTCCCAGCTGTGGTGGCTATGGAGAGAGACACCTCCTGTTTGAGATAAGTGGAAGGAAAAGTAAAGGAGACTTTGCCTTGCACGTTAGGTGCCAGCACAACCACAGTGGAGTGGAGCACCAAGTGGACTATTGTGGTTTGTGATTCTGGGACTTGACTCTTGGGTGGTATGTTCTGGACCTGCCCTGGGCCAATTGAGAGCCCATAACATGAATGGTGTGTCCCAGGCCAGGCAGCATTCACCACAAGATGACTTAAGAGACTTTAGGCTTTAAGGGAATATAGATGGGAGTCTAGCAGTACTCCATGTGGCCTGGGGTGGTGGTGGCTATGAGGTCAGGCTCCTCTGCCTTTGGACAAGGAAGAGAGGAGTGGGAAGGATTTGTTGGGTGGTGTGAGTGCCAGCTCAGCTGCAATCCTGTAGAATACCAGGTACATTTCTAAGGTTTTAGACTCTAGCCCTTGATTCCTGCACAGCACTTCTGGAACCACACGGAGACTGGGGGACCAGAAGTCCCACTGTGGGACCTCACTGCTCTAACAGAAGGACACAGGCATAACTATCTTTGCTACCTGCTGATTGTAGATCCCTTGGGCCTTGAGCAAACATAGGCAGTAGCCAGGGACTGGTTACAACAGGCCTTGGGTGAGACCCAGCACTGTGGTGGCTTCAAGTCTGACCCAATGCAGTCATGGTGGTGACACACGGGTGCTTGTGTCACTCCACCCCAAGCTTTCAATATCTCAGAACAAACACACACAGAGTTACTCTGTACATATGGGAGAAAGTAAGGGAAGAGAACAAGGGTCTCTGTGTGATAATCCAGAGAATTCTCTCAGATCTTGTCCCAAACATCAGGGTGGTACCTCTGTGAGGTTCTGCAAGAACCATAATATTACTGGGTGTGGGGTGCCCCCTAGAGCAGATACAGCTTAGATCACAACACTCAAGTCTTTCCAAATATTTGGTAAGCCTTACAAGAAGGATGGCTAACAAATAAGCCCAGAGAGTGAAGACTACAATAAATACATAACTCTTCAATGCCCAGATACCAAAGAACATCTACTAGCATCAACACCAGACAGGAAAACACGACCTCTCCAAATGAACTAAATAAGTGACCAGGGACCAATCCTGGAGAAACAGATATGTGACCTCACAGACAGAACATTTTAAATAGCTGTGTTGAGGAAACTCAAGGAAATTCAAGGTAATGTAGAGAAGAAACCTAGAATTCTATCAGAAAATTCTAACAAAGAGATTGAAATAATTAAAAAGAATCCCCCAGAAATTCTGGAGCTGAAAAATGCAACTAGCATACTCAAGAATGCACCAGAGTCTCTTAACAACAGAAGTGATAAAGCAGAAGAAAGAATTAGTCAACTTGAAGACAGGCTAGTTGAAAACACATCGAGGAGATAAAAGAAAAAATAATAAAAAACAATGAGGCATGCCTTCGGGATCTAGAAAATAGACTTAAACGGGCAATTCTAAGAGTTATTGGCCTTAATGAGGAGGTAGAGAAAGATAATAGGGGTAGAAAGTTTATTCAAAGGGATAATAACAGAGGACTTCCCAAACCTAGACAAAGATATCAATATGCAAGTACAGGAAGGTAATAGAACACCAAGCAGATTTAACCCAAAGAAGATAATAATCAAACTCCCAAAGGCCAAGGGTAGAGAAAGGACCCTAAAACAGCAAGAGGAAAGAAATGACTAACATACAATGGAGCCCCAATACATCTGGCAGCAGATTTTCACTGGAAACCTTACAGGCCAGGAGACAGTGGCATAACAATTTAAAGTGCTAAAGAAAAAAGCTTTTACCCTATAATACTATAATAGTATATGTGGTGAAAATATCGTTCAAGCATAAAGGAGAAAGAAAGACATTCCTGGACAAACAAAAATTGAGGGAGTTCATCAATACCAGACCTGCTGTACAAGAAATGCTAAAGAGAGTACTTTAGTAAGAAAGAAAAGGACATGAATGAGCAATACATAGTACCTGAAGGTACAAACCTTACTGGTAATAGCAAGTACACAGAAAAACACAGAATATTATAACATTGTAACTGTGGTGTGTAAACTACTCTTATGCTAAGTAGAAAGAGTAAATGATGAATGAATCACAAAAAGTAACTAAAACAACTTTTCAAGACATAGTCAGTACAATAAGCTATAAACAGGAACAATAAAAAGTTAAAAAGTTGGGGAACAAAGTTAAAGTGTAGAGTTTTTATTAATTTTCTTTGTGCTTGTTTGTTTGCTTATGCAAATAGTGTTAAGTTA